GCTAACCATTGTCTTTGCAGCCCAAAACTTCTTATCCATGTGTTCATTGGCAGCCGCCTCGCCGCCCTCGCCGAGAGCGGCGACAAGATGTCATTCAGCGACAAGATGGTCAACTACCTTGGCATGGGAGCCGGCGCCATCGTCGGCATCGTCGTCGGCTGGGTCGTCTACAGGCGCACAATGGCCCGCGCCGCCGAGGTCGCCAGAGAGGAGGCCGCGGAGCTTGGCCGAGCCGGGCCCCCGGCCTTCCTCGACGTCGACGGCGAGACCATGATGGACCCCGAGGACGCCGCCGCCCTCATGTCCGACGACGACATGTCGCTTTGGGACACGCAGCTCGACGAGCCGGACATCTACCACGACGAGCAGGACGAGTCCAAGGGCAATAAAGCCGGAGGGCCCGGCTCAAAGCCTGCCAAGAACCAGGACTTGAGTGAATGAACAATCACCATACACCTAGACACGAACGATGCAAATTACGAGACTATGTACATAACATGATTTATGGGGCATGTTGCTACTCGATGCCCGGTTTCTTCTTTTCTTCCTTTCTTTTCTTAATCCTTCACTTTCGGAATGTTAGACCTTTCTTTTTCTGGGGGCTTGAATGATATTATGGCTGGGAGCTTCGGTATTTAGTGGCGTTTATAAGGGCTGATTGAACGGAGACGTGGACAAATAGAGTCATTAGTATATGATTAGAGGAGGCACTGGATATCTAAAACATTGGAATCAAAAAGAATACAGTCCACGCAATCCATTACAGTCGTGCCTAATTTGCTTTGAAGAGAAAGAATACAACCAAATTAAAAAAAAGGATGAAATCAGCAATATCAATCGCATGATGCTTTCGCCATTTTCCCAACGCCATCGCTCATGTCCACCCAGTCGTAACAATTTCGTAAGAGCTAAAGAGCAAAACTAATAAAAAGCAAGTATGTGCAGCATCTTTCAGGGCTGGCCAGGTCGATACTGGTTCATGATCTGCATGGCCTGCTCGACCGGGTATCCGATGAAGACGGGACCGGTGAAGATCATCTGCGGGGCATTTCCAGCCCATTTGGACATGTCAGGGTTGATCAGGGCCGGCTGAGGCTGCACGGTGGATTGCGCGTGCGGAGGTTCCTCCTTGAGCGGTGAGAACGGTGAGTTCTGCTGAGCTTCAGTGGCAGGCGACTTTTCAGCCTCTGACTTCTGCGGAGATTGGTGCCCCGTGGCAAGAGCCTGGAGCTTGGTGTGATCGAAGGGACACTTCTTCAGAGGCTCCTTAAGTGGTGTCATAGCCGTGTGGGAGGGGCTGGGCATCCGCACAGGAGCAGCAGGCGGTGAGAAAGGTTGCTGCTGCTCGTCGTTGTTGTCCTCGGGCTCGTACACAGGGACATGGATCCCCCAAGGCCGACTGGGGGATTCACCAACACGGACTTCTTTGAAAGGGCGATCAAATCGTGTTTCCCTATCTTCTTCGCCAGATTCGGAGGCTTCCTCAATAGCGTCAGAGTCGGTGACAGTAACGGCCTTGGCCCAGTCCTTCACTCGCTCATTGGAAGCCCGCTCGATCTCACTCTGGCGACGAGGCCGATCCTGGTCTGTTTCAGGCAGCATCGGCATGTGCAGCTGGCCGAGGCCTTCAATCATGCTGACGATGTTGCCGTACTTGGAGTCGATTTTCTTGATCTGTTCCTCGTTGTGCTGATACCGCCGGAGACAAATCTCATGGCTGCGAGGGAGTTGATGCTTATGCGTTTCGACATAATGTGCAATCTCCTCGGGCGAGTGCTGATCCATGTACCGTATGGGACACTTTCCAGCAGCGGCATTTGGATCCCCGCCCTGAGACTGAGAGGCTGCCGACATGGCTGCGCAGATTGGGTCTGTGGAGTCATGTGGCGTTGGATGCGGTGGCACAGGTGCCTGATCCTCGCCATCGACCTCGGAAGCACCGTTGGTGGCAGGTTTGGGCTGCGAGAATGGACATTGCAGGTTGCCCTTCTTGCCCTCCACGGTGAAGTCCTGCTCCAGCGCGGTGGACATGGAGGATTTTCTTCCGGAACTCTGGGAGAACGAGTCCTTCGTCGAAGCGGTGGTCTTGCTTGCCTCGCCCAGGGATGCAAGCTGACCGGCCATTCTGCGACCGTCCCGGATGACCAATGCAACCTCGTGCTGGGACCTGGGGGAGCCGCGACGAGGCAGTGGAACAGGGGAGTCTTTGTCCACAGATGTATGCGGTGGGAGCTGCAGCTTGGCAAGCGTCTCGGCTATTTCAGGAGTCGCCGGGGCATACTTGTCTGCCAAGTATTGGAGCTGTGGATGGTCGAGCGACATTAGCATCGATGACATCTCAACTGCTGACGTAACGTCAACGCGGGCAAAGGGGTGAGGTGATGGTAAGTGTGGAAAGTGCGCAGGATTGGGTTCAGAGGGTTGAAGAAAAAGTTTCACTCTTAGCAGACGCTGCTGCTCGTGATCTAGAGCTAAATTGGTATTCATCATGAAAGCGCGCGCTGACACCACCGATGGGCGATCGCTCTCTTTCAACTGCAGGCGTGCCGGAGGGGGGCGGCGCCGGGGTTTGGGTTGTCCCAGGACCGAACCGATGTCGCCGACAGTGCCAGGCAGAGAGGGAGAGGCGCCAAAGGGTGGTGTGCGGGAGGGTTGGCAGTAGTGCAGACCAGGTGAAAAAAATTGCTTACCTGCTCGTGGGCAAACCGCAGTTTGTGCTCCAGCACAATGCGGCGGTCGTTTAGGCCCTGGGCCTCATCGGCGAGGGCATTGAAGGCATCGGCAAGATTGTGCGAAAGCTCAAGGTGCGACATGCCCATGCCTGAGGATGCCGCTGGAGTGGGCGAAGAGAGGTGAGAGCATCGTAGGGAGAGTGAACAGGTGATGGTTTTTTTTTTGTAGGCAGAAACGATGGAAGGCAGTGGCGCTGTAGCCCCCGAGGTTGGAGCTGGACTAGCGCTGTCTCACAGTGCTAACCCGCCCTAGCGCGACACTGTCCGCCGCTCCCAACCGCCTGCATTTCGCCCTCGGAAAGGAGCCCAAACCCACATCCGCTCACCTCCTGGATTACGGGAAGCGAAGCGATTGGGACGGATCCTGTTCTACCGCCTACCCTGTAGCTGCATGCAGTTATCTGGTTGACCACTTATCACCCTGTTGCCGCTCCTGCATGTACTGACAGGTGTTGACCCATTGCGATGTAGTGTAGGATTGGGTATATATGGTAGTGGGCGATGTGGAGTGGGATATTGTACTGATGCTCCTGTAGCACGTTTGTCACTACAAGTCCTCCATGACTGTTGACCTCGACCTTGAAAACGGCTTGTACCACGTAGACCAAGCTAACCGTCTGAACATCCACATAACCATGTCCGACACTCCTGAGATCCCCACAGCAAAGCTGCTCAGCAGCAAGGACCACATCGTGCCTGGCCAATATGTCGTGACCGAGCTCTTTTTCCAGGTGCCTCTGGACTATTCCGACCCCTCTGGAGCTTCAATCACCCTCTTTGCTCGCCGTGCTACCAAACATGAAGTCCCAATCTTCCCCCAGGATGACCCCGAGGCCGCCCAGACTCAGGCCACCAAGCCCTACATTGTCTACCTCGAGGGTGGGCCTGGGTTTGGGAACCGTGAGCCTCAGGAGCATCCCATCACTCGGTCTTTCATCTCCAGGGGATATCAAGTTCTGCTCCTCGACCATCGCGGTGTTGGGTTGAGTACCCCTGTATCGGCCGATATGCTCAAGGCTTTGCCCGGCGGGGTAGAGGGACAGTTTGAGTATCTGAAGCTCATGCGGCAGGACAATACCGTCCGTGACTGTGAAGCCGTCCGCAAGTGCCTCACCGAGGGCTGGCCAGAGCACAAGTCGAAGTGGTCCACATTCGGCCAGTCCTATGGCGGCTTTGTCAGTCTCAGCTACCTGTCGTTGCACCCCGAGGGTCTGAGGGAGGTCTTCCTGACTGGCGGGCTGGCCCCCGTGGGGAAAACTGCCGACGAGGTGTACAGGGCAACCTTCCCCAGGGTGATCAAGCGGAACGAGGCCTACTATAAGAAATTCCCCGAGGATGTCGAGAACGTGCGGCAGATCGCCGCCCACATCGAGAGCAAAGGCGGCGTGCCCCTCCCCTCTGGCGGATCACTGACCGTGCCACGCTTGCTATCCATCGGGATTTCCTTTGGTGCCCACGGAGGATTCGACAGTGTCCACGCCATCATCCTCCACCTCAAGACCTCGCTGGACCAGTTCGGCTTCCTCACCCGGGCCAGCCTCACGCCCCTCGAGTCCGTCACGCCGTTCGACACCAACATCATCTACGCCATCATCCACGAGGCAATCTACTGCGACGGGCCCGGGTACGCCTCCAACTGGGCCTCGGAGCGCGTCGGGCGCAACTTTGACGAGTTCTCGTGGCTCCAGCCTCTGAGCTCCGCCCTCGGCTCAGACGGGCCCCTGTACTTCTCCGGAGAGAACGTGTTCCCGTTCCACTTTGACACGTACCCCGAGCTCGCGGAGCTGAGGCAGGTCGCGGAGAAGCTTGCCAAGTTCGACCAGTGGCCGGCGTTATATGACCAAGAGAAGCTCAAGAAGAACACGGTTCCTGTCTATGCTGCCTCCTACATCGACGACATGTACGTTGATTATGAGTTCGCCAAGGATACCGCGAACCTGGTCCAAGGGACAAAGGTGTTTGAGACGAATGTTATGTATCATTCTGCTCTTCGAGCGAAGACTGAAACGGTGCTTCAGAATCTCTTCCGGTTGAGAGATGATGTGATTGATTAACATCCACAAGGCTTTCTCATGATCTAGAAAGGGTACATCTAGGTGATATATATAGAGCTTTACTGCAGCCTGTCTCAAAAACCAGTCTAGAAGATAGAAACCGTAAATGATTCATGATTGTGTCTGACTCTATTCATCTATGGTAAATGGTGAGAGGCTGTTGTTCCCGCTGCTCGTCTTGCCCCTCCCCGTCTATTAATCTATAGCAATTACCCTACTCCAGCCCAAAGTCTATTTCTGCCTGCGTCTGGGCTTGCCACAATCTATTGGCTGCACTCGATATCACCTCCGCCTTGGCTAGCAGCTTCTCCTCATACTTCTTGTTATCCTTGCCCTTCTGACGCAGCTTGTGTGGCTGGGCCTGCAGCAGAACCGGCACCAGCTCAGACGGATCAGCGTTGGCGATTGCGCCAACCGTGCGGAACCCGCTCTCCCAGAAGACACGGGCTGTCCGGCTCTTGACGAAGGGGATCTTGGCCAGCTCCAGCAAGTCTGCTCGGGCGCCGGCCATCAGCCTGTCAGAGAAGTGGTCCAGAGTGGCCGCCAGGATCCCCCAGCCCATTTGCTCGCAAAACTTGATCATCCCCGCCGCGAAGCCCTGGCAGGTCTGTGAGAGGTTCTGGACGGTCCCCCGAGGTACCTCGTACTTTTGTGCGACGACGTGGACCGGAACCTCGTTGCACAGGTCGCGCAGCTGCAAGGCAAAGTAGAAGCGGCGGTATATTTTGGCTTGCTTCTTTTCTTCCGGCGTGGTTTCTTTCATTGTCGCACCTTGTGCCCTATTTTCATTGTTAGAACAATAATCAACAACCCCTAAGCAAGTAGATAGTGAGCTGGTGAAACATGGGAAGTACTTGCAGTCGAATGATGGTGGCCGGCTGGATCCCCAGAATGCGGAGGACACGAAATCCACTGTCATCGAGAGATCCCATCTCGTCTCTGAAGACTTGCCAGTTAACAGCTGCGGCAAAGTCTTGCACAGGGGTGAATGTGTATAGAATATGCATGTCTCCATCCATTACGAAAGCCTTTAGTGCCCTACTGAGCTCCTCATAGATGAAGACACCATCGTCAGGGTCTAATGCGGAAGCCACAACGGCTTTGCCAAGCTGTGTCGCTGAATAACCTCCATACCCATCCTTTACAACAAATTCGAGTTCAGTAACTTCCTTGAGGCCGGTATCTAATAGTTTATCAATGTGTTCAATCCCATGAGTATATCGTAAGAGGGACTTTTGAAAGTGTTCCCGAATAGATTCGTGACTTGTAGCAAGCCTGACTGAGATGACTTCCAGAAGTGCCCTATTAGTACTATCAGCAGCCATTCAGCATGTAGAGCTGGGTGAGGGGGGGGGGGGGAGAATACCTGTGAAAACGACGGTTCTCATTGTTGAGGCAGCTGATCACTTCTGGTAAATCGGCATGCATGAGTTCTACTACCTGTTCTAGGTCGCCCTCACGACAACACAGATAAGTCTCTCCAACAGGTGCCTTGCCTTGCCTGCCAGCACGTCCCCTCATCTGGCGCAGAAGGGCCGGACCAACGAAGTCCCGCCCCATGCGGGCATTGTGAAGTATTACTCTTCGAGCTGGTCTGTCTCCATGTTGATTAGGGAGCTGCAAAACCATGGTGGTGCGTGGGGGTGAGCTTACAGATTGATACCAGCAGCAAGGCTGCATGTAGCAACACAGACGAGGATTGCACCTGAGTCGTATGCAGCGGCTACGAGCTCTCTCTCCTCTGTTGTTAATCCGGCCTTACATTAAGTGTTAGAAACAACCTGGGTTGTGACATATATGGAAACTTACGTCTATTGTAGATGGTTAATTTCACGCTTGCTGACCCGATGCAATCTGCATAGGCTATGGTATGTTTTGGAACTTACGGTGGAATGCAACACCTTGCAACACTGTTTCCCCCAGTACCGGATCTAATCCAGTCGAGAGACTGCGCAGGTCCTCTAGCAATTCTGTTCTTTTTTCAAGAAGCTCTGGGCCGATCTCGTGTGGCTGTGGCATCACCCGACTGATCCAGCGAGCATCCGATTCGCAGGAGCTGCGACTACCAGCAAAGACCAGTACTCCATGACCTGCCGAGGCAGTCTCATAAGCAAGAGAGACGACTGAGTTCAGGACTGATTCAGTGAGTTCTTTGTGCTCTGAAGGCTCAATTCTTCTCATCACTGAAAGTTTATCTTCCATTGAGCGCTGACTTTTTAGACTAGACGCTGTTTTGAGAAGACTTTGCGTGCTTGCGGCGGGATAGATGCTTCCTTCGCACACTAGGTGCTCGTGAATGGGTACTGGTCGGTATTTCGTCTCATATGAGTACGCGTTGAGCCACTTAGCGATAATATCAAGATTCTATAATTGAATTAGCTGAGCCGTGCGAAGTTGAGACTGGATGACACACAGGCAGAGTCGCGCTCATGGCTATTATCTGGACACGCTGTTCCAAACTCAGTAGTTTGGTTGTCATGAGTTCAAGCAAATAGCCTCGATGGCCATCATCGATCATATGAAGCTCATCCAGCACAACCGCTCGAAGTTGTGAAATCGAGCAATCATCGATGGCCGTATTAATAAGCGAGTTAGCCTAGACTTTGTATTAGAGAAAAGTGAGAAAAAAAAAGGAGGAGAACTCAAGAAAAGTACTACACCTTTTCCAACGTGCAAACCCCAATATCGAAGTCATTCCAGGTAGCCCTGATCTTGCCTCCACCGAAGAAGCCGACAACTCGGATGTTGTCATCGTCGGCCCAACGCTTCCCGTGTAATGGATTCTGACTACTCTCAGGGGAGTTCTCATCAAACGACAATCCCTGGACGACACCGCGAAGCCAGCGAACTTTCTCCTGAACCAGGGCCACGTATGGAAGCACAAGCAATGCCTTTGCAGTTTTGTTGTTTATGATTCGTTTCAGCATCAAGACTACCCCCCATCAGCAACTGCCTATAACTAGTTTCGCATATTTCTAGTTTGCGACAAAACTTACCATCAGCTACCAAGGATTTGCCTCCGCCAGTGGGCGCACAATATACAAGATTTTTAGAGCCGCCTAGGAGCTGGGGTCCCTTTAGGCAGTTTTTCTGCCATGGGTATATTTGCTTGATTCCAAGGGAAGCAAAGTTCTGCACAAGACGGGGTGGCAGCCCATAAAGCGGGTGGGCGAGACTGAGCTCGGGGTCATGGTCAGACGTTGGCGTGGCTGAAATTGCAACACGCTGAGTCCATTCCGATGGGCCCTCCTCGGGTGTCTCTAAGTTTACGATTGGGCTGGCAGAAAGCCTCCGGGCAGCGCTTGACGCCGTCGAAGCCCTCTTGAACTGGACTGGGCCTCTACTGGTACCCTGCTGATTGCTGGGAGTATCACTCGCGGACCAGCTTCTCTTTTGCCCGGCGTGGGAGGTGACAGTGGTGAACGTTGTTGAACGCGCATCATTTGCCGCTGTGAGACTCGTCTTGTGCAAGATGCCTTGCATGCTATTCATAATGAGAAAACATCAAAACCTTCCCAGAGCGGTTGCTGCAAGGTTCTGGATACTCCGGCCGTTGGGAAAAAAAGCAACAGAACCCTATGATTGGGAACCAGGAACCGCGCGGTGCGATGCGATGTGACGTGACTTTACGTGAAGCAGTGTAACGCGAGATCACGTGATGGAGAACACGGATTACGCAGCACCCATTGCGCTCGGCTCTCAGCGTCATAAGGGTTGGATAAGAGCCGGTACACTTCGTATTACAGGCAGCACCTACGGCATATCCAGGCGGCGGCCCCTTGGCTGCCTGGTGGAAAGAACGGCCACGGGCCAATGCCGGTACCTCCTCCCTTGGTGAGACCGAAGTTTCAAATGCCAGCGATTTTTACGGAGCCCATTTTAGTGGAAGAGTCCCGAGATGAACCCCTGACCTACAAGATTCTGGCAGGTTTATAATTACGCCGGACGCAAATGGTTCTTCTGGGGTCTTTCCAGGTGCGCCCCTTCCTTCGTCCCTGACTCGAGCGATTCCGGGTCTGCAAGGAAATGCAGCCTCCACCTCATATCATCATCGTCACGTCGCCCCGGCCCGGCACCTGAGTGGTACCCAACAGTGATCGCCTTTCTCCAGCTGCGTCGTCGCGATCGAAAAAGTCGGGCCCATCTCTTTAGGCGTTAATGCTAGCCTCCCTTCAGTTCCTGTGATATGAATGAAGTGCCTGTCGTCGTGTGGCAAAGGGAGGGCATAGCCGTCATTTTATGTGCGAGGTGACATGCACAAAACACGACGGTTGTGTCACACAGGTCCAGGGCTTCGTCTCAATCTATGAACACCAAGCCTCAAGGAGATGAGATAATTGGCCAGCATGGTGCGAAATAAATTACGTGGGCTACCCGTCATATGAATAGTCTCTAGTAGTTGGAATGTAGCAATAAGAATAGGAGAAATATCTCGGGCTGGCATGATGCAGGTAACGAGGGCCTGTTAGCGACGACAAGTGGGTGACGGGAGAAATGAGACACCCAACAGAAGGGTAGGTAGTTATTAATCGACTGCTTTCTGCAATAGATACTTGGAGAAATTCAGTAGTACCAAAGAGAAATAAAGTAACAATTCATGCGGTATTATCTCTGATGTATTATTAGGACTCAATAGTCTGATAATATCGGTCGTTGACTTGAGAATAAGCAGCTTAATGTTTGAGTGTCTCGATTTCAATGTCACCCACTTGGACGGGTGGGCTTTTGAGATGTGCAACCTGATCGACGGCTGTGAGGATCGTCCCAAGAAACGTGCGGGCGCTGGCTTGAGAATATGCACTGTGGAGACAGACGTCATGCAGCCTTTCGCCCTCTCCGGAACTGCATCCTGGTTCGCGGTGCTGGGAGACTCATTTGCTCCCAGCAAACAACAGCCGACGAGGAAACACTCCCGTGCTGTTGAAAGAATCTCAGGCTGGGCAATCAGCTACCGAGGCAGGGCAGGGCAAGGACAGGATTGGATTGGTGTCGATACCGCAGGTAAGGGGGGGAAGTTGGTCCACTCAGGACTCATCTTAATCAGCGTGCGCCACATGTCTAGAGCCACTCAAACGCGGGGCGTCCCTGACACCAGCACTACATCAGGGCACGGCTGCAGACCGATTTGCAGGGCCTTCTCAGGGCTACCCCACCGCCCGTCATTGGCTGGCGCTGGAGACCTTGCGTACCGACCAGTTCATCGGTACGCTGGTGTCGGTCTTCGGGTGTACCTCCGCCCTCACCTCTGCACCGCCGGCACACCAAGTACCCTTGGGTGGCACTATGTGCGTGCGACGGAGGTTAATAGTGGGTGGCTCTAAAGTAATGCCCTTGGTTGGGCATGATGCTAGCACGGCTCGATAGCCCTGGGTCAATGTTTGCTCTGATGACGGCCCAGGCGTTTCCATCTCCCCAAATCCCGGGCGGTGGTCCTTTCGGGTCTTTCCAGTTGTTTCCACAGGCAAGCATCTGCGCGCTGCGTCTGGAAACAGGCTCGGTCGCTGTCGCTGCAAACTACCATGTGGCCAGCCGCCCTGCCAGCTGTCGGCAGTAGGGTATTGGAATTTAATCTCTCCAGGATGTCTTGTCAGCAAACCAGCAGACGAGGGCCGTGGGTGATTTTTGTTTGGCACGTGGACAGGTGCAGAGGAGGCAGAGTTATGTCCGGTGGACTCTGGGAGCCCTGCCTGGCTGCCCTGGGATGAGGTCAGGCCGGGTGTCCTCTGCTGCATCCCGCCGTGACGACCTGAGGCAGATGGCACACCAAAGGGGACCTCCCAAGGTTTCGTCGAGGCAGACAGGGTAGGGCAGGGGGGTGAGGGGGTGTGTGGGGGCAAACTATGAGCTGCAATCACTTAACCCAAAGCTTCCCCGTCGAGCGGCTTCCACTCGCCAATCCAACTACAGTCGACTATGCTGTAGGCTCCGACACGGCACATTGCACATTACTCGGGTGGCCGCCACCTCTAGTAAATTCTGGTCAGCAAGAAATCACTTGGATCCTCGGTTTTCTGATAAATAAAGAAGAGACGGGGTGGAAAACAGAGCCTCAGGCGCTTGCTCCCCCCGCCCAGATGGGCCGCCCTAGTGTGCGAGTTGATTCAGCAGGTAATTATTAGATTCGGTACTGGAGCCTGTGCTTGCTTTTTGGGTTCCCGCCCGCGTTTGTAGGCAGGAATCAAGGCAAGGTAACGCAGCCTTCCATCGCACTTCGACAATGGCCCATCCCTGCGCTCTGCAAAGGGACGACGGCACACTACCCACCCACACACCATTGTACCTAGCACGCTGCTCTGTTTGTACGTCCATGTGCACTCAGACCGTAATCACAATTCACCAACATGCCTTGACAAGCGATTGGAGGGCAGAACGTCGCCAATGGGAGGAGGGTGGCACACAGTTGCCCAGTGAGTCAAGCGGCGGCAGATGCTGAGTAGTAACGTGATTATCTTATAGAGGGCGAGCGCGCCACTCTGGGTTTCTCTGATGCCAGGCGATCTGCATGGGACAGTACGGCTCTCAGATCCGTATCGTCGCCTACACCCGCATCGATGACGGTGTGAGGTGGTGCCGGCTCTTGGGGGCTAATTCCTTCCCATCTGGAGATCCAGAGCAGCGGGTGGTGGTGGTCCGCTGTTCTAGATTCTCGTGGGCGAGAAACCAGAGCGCGCCCGTTGGTCCTAGGCTTGATGGCCTGGTGGTGATGGTGGGCGTCGCTGATCTCTCTCGAGCCCACAAAAAGTTGATCCCACCAACCCCAAAACAGAGAGTGGCTGGGGAAGCATTGTTCCAGCTTTTTCATCAATGTCAGTTCGGAGTCTGAGGCTAGCTTGTGGGCGTCCGTTGGGCAACCACAGACGAAAAAAACAATAATCAGTTCTCAACATAATAATGTGCATCTGAGCTGAACAAGGGCATCAAAAAAGCGAGCGGATGGGAGACATGCAAGCCATCTGTGCGCTATGTCCGCCTTGGTTGTTGCGGTGACTTCTTCGTGTCGATGGGTGGATGCAACATCGTCGACGATGCCCTATGCTAAACGTCAAACCTGATGCGAACGCCCCTCTCCCTCCCCCCTCCACAAGCAAACAATCTACAGGAAAAGCATCGACCAAATGTTCCGAGAGCTGGGCGTAACGGTTGAGCATGGCCAAGTGGAGCGACGAAGGAGCTGTAATTATTCTTCTAGCCTCTGTTCATTTTGGGTAGGTGAGAAGAGGATGATCGCGCTGGAGGAAAATGTCACGATTAACGCCAGGGTCAGCGCCAGTGGACCGACCAGGGTCAAGAAACAGTGGCGGAAAATGCGGATGAGCTGGCATAACCACTGGTTATCATACCGGCTCGCCTATTTCCCAGGGCTCCCCGAGGCAGCTCCGACAGATCGCAGGCTGGGTCAAGGGGTCTGTTGAGGGAGCAATTCCCAAGCCTCAGAAGCTCACGCTCACACTACCGACTTAGCACCTGCCTAGCGAGCAAGCCATAAGGGCGAAGGTGTACTATGTATGATGTGGCCATGCAAATGGCAACAGCCGGTATGTGCAAATGCCTGGCGGAGATCGCCCACGCCAGATACTGGTTTAGTTGCCGCCATCGCTGGTGCGGTGAGCCTATGGTGTCATCAATCAACCTGCTACCTGCAGCCTGCTGGCAGCCGAGGGCTATTCTTAATATTATACGCCTGTTCTTCTTAATTGCCAGAAATATACATTGACCAATGCCGCTCGCTCCAGGTGTCCAAATGGATCTCTGCGCAGCGCCGCTTTAAAAGCGAACGTCAGGCCGTCCACCCTACCTGGCAAGGCGGGCAACCCGCGAAGCAGAGAATTGGAATGAGCATTCATCAGTCTGCCGAATCAAGGGTCGGTGTCCAGAATGAGGTTCTTGGTTAGCTCTGTGAACCTGAGATTAAAGAGACGAGACAAATTAGCGCCTGGGCGGCTCAGCCAAAAACTCCCCATATTGTCCAGGCATTACGTCGCCAGGCCTCAATGTGTGACTGATCACCTGGGAATTTGCACGGGAAAGTTAAGTCATTCCGAGGAGGCAGCACGGATCAATCGGGCCTGAATATGCAAATGTTATTCACCTGGGCGCCTTGGAGCCACAAACCTTCTTCGCTCCCCCTTCTTAGCCGCTCCAGCACAGCCTTGCCCGGGCGGCCGCGATCAAATGAAAGCTGCGCCTATCTGGATCGTGCAAACTTGAATTGGAGGCATCGTATTAAGATGTGTCTCTTGGTCGCAGCTTTGCCCTGACCATTTCCTCTGCCACTGCCGTAAGCAAGGTTTGTCGCTGCTGGTAATTTTGATCTCGACATCCCGCTCCCCACCCTTTCCCGTTCGCCACCTCTCAGACTGTCGTGAGCGCACCGTATGCTTTGGAATACGGCCAGTGGGATATCAAACGCAATAGAATAGATGGCAAACAATTCATCGCTCCGACATCAACGCGCACATCGTTATAGTAGTCTGGGTGCATTAATCTCAGAA